ACTAGTATAATGTCAAAAGGCAGCGGGTTTCCAGTCAAGGCTACTAGAGCAATAAGGCCCTAAAAGGGAGGGCATTTGGTGCTTTATTCATTTTTGCATCTCCCTCGACTCCAAGCACCATCCAACACATGACAGATTCTTCAACGTTTGCGGAATGAGTGTCAAGCAAATCCAGGCTGAGGCGAGACAAAGCATCAAGCAGGAGGCTGCTCTCACCAGGCATGGCCATAGGGGAAATGCCCCACCTTCCCCTGGGTAGGGCCACCTGCCTGAGCCCCAGCCTACAGCATTCATGTGCCACCCAGATATCAGAGAGGCTACTGGGAGAAACACAGAGGCCAGTGCTCTCTGGTCCCTCCCTTCTGATATGGCTTAATAGGCACTCTTGTCCACATAAGGCTCTGAGAGTTACAAGGTGTTTCCTATAACAACCCTGGAGGCAAGGAACAGAAGGGCTATCATTCCTTCCATTTTATGGACAAGGTACTGGGACTCAGAGCCCCAAGGGTGCCCCAGCAAGGAGGCATCAGCACCAGGCTCTGAGCCCCTTACCCCTCCTCACACTACCGCTCAGCAGAACGCACTGGAAGATGCCGCAGCGTCTGCCAATCTGTAGGAGCTTCTTACTCTCTGGGAGCACTGAAGGCTTACGGGAGGAAGGGGGATGAGTTCCCTGTCACTGAAGGTCTGCCAGTAAAAGCTGGATGACTGAGGACTTCTTGGGATGCTTCTTTTTTAGACTGAGTGACCTCTGAGGGCACTGCCAAAGGTGAAATTCTGGGAAATGTGCTGTTTCAATGGGCAAACACTGCAGGCTTCCAGGCTCCCAGATCTAGAGTAGGAAGGGTTCTTTGAAGTCATAGGCAAGGGGACCTATCAAGACTACACAGATATTAAGTGGATCATTGGTCTAGACAGCGTGGGTGGGGAACCTGCAGCCTCAAGGCCACATGTGGCCTTCTAAGTCCTTGGGTTCGGCCTTCCTTCCAAGGGGATTTGCTCTGTGAAGTCTGGATTCAGTCAAAAGGCCACACCCTAGGACCTAGAGGGCCACATGTGGCCTGGAGGCAGCAGGTTCCCCAACCCTGGGAGCTAGAAGACCTCAGTCACCAGCTGGCCCAATCCCCTCCTTTTACAGAAGAGGAAACCGAGGCCCAGGAACATTAAGTGATGTGTCCAAGGCCTCCCAGTGGCAGAGCTGATTCGAGACCCCAAATCCAGTGCACAAACACCTCAGACTCAATGATCCCTCTGACCTTCTGCTAGGCCAACTCTCAGCCCTGGGGCACCACTTCTATGTGACTCGTCTGCTCCAATCCCAGACTACAAGAGAGATGCACACAGTCAAACTATGGTGACTTTCTAATCTGCTATAAATGCATTCTCAAATTGGTCCCTCACAAATGCTTGGCAAACCTGGGAAGACAAATTGGCAAAGCAAGAAGAACAGGAGGCTTGGAAGGTAGACCCAAGCCACAGCTCTTTCCCTGATTAACTGTGTGACCCTGGGCAAGTCATTTCATTTCTATGAGTCTCAGTTTCCTCATCAGTAAAATGGGAATAATAGTTGCATTACCTATTTTGTTGGGTAGTTGTAAGAATCAATAGGGGATAACAGGTGTGTATAAAATACTACACATAAATTTTTATTTTTGTTAATCTTATGGAGTGACCAAATCAGTCTACTTTTCTAGGATATCCACTGAGGACTGAGAGAAAACCATAAGAGGAAGTTAAAGAAACATGGAGTTCATTTCATCTTCCACTAAGCCCATCCTAAGCGGTCATCAACAATAAGCCAGGTTCACCTCTGGCCACAGTGCTAAAAGAGGAACTGACAGTAAATGGAAAACCAACTGGACCCTGTCAAGTGCCTACTTTCTTAACATATTGTTTTTTCTGTTAGATTTTGTACTTTCTTCTCCAATTAGTCCATTGTATTTTATTTTCTTCATTGTACTTTTTTTCCAATTGGCCAATTGTGTTTTTTAGGGACTTGTTTTCTTCAGTGTACTTTTTTTCCAATTGGCCAATTGTACTTTTTAAGGACTCCTCTACCTCTCTCATTTGACTTTTAAAATCCTTCTTCAGCCCTTCTAAGAAGGCTTTTTGGGCTTCAGACCAGTTCACATTCCCTTCTGATGTTGCAGATGTGGGTTTGATGACAATGTTGTCCTCTTCAGAATTTCTGTCTTGATCATCACTCTTCTCGTAACATGAATCGATCGTACGTTTCTTTTTACTCTTGGTGTTTCTTTATTCCCTGGCCTTTAAAGAGATTAAGCTCTCCTGCTGGGGAGCAGAGGGCACTGACCCAAGCTTCTTGTGATGGGAGCCTAGGTCTTGGTCACTGGCTCTGTGTACCGGGGCCTCTTATGTTGGCAATTGGAGCCTGGAGGGTTCTGGCAGCTTATCTGGTGTTGGGCTGGAATCAGCAAGGCTGGGACTTTCAGGTAAATCTAGGTTGCCTGCTTTTCCTTTCCTTTAGCTTTGTTTAGCTCCTTTTAGCTAAGTGCTGCTGGGTGTTTATCTGCCTGGGGCCCCTTGCAGTGCTGCCTCCCTTAGTTCTGTTGAGGCACCGGGAGACTTCTTTGCTGTAGAATGCCGAGGCACCTGGTGGTTTTCTGAGCTGGTTTCCACCAGTTACCCCACCCTCACTAAGGCACTTGGAGGTACAGCTGTTGGCGTTTGCCTGCTCGACCACCTGGGCTTTGGGATCTCCTCCTGGTTGACAGTTGGAGGCTGTAGGGTTCTGACAGCTTACCTGGTGTTGGGCTGGAATCAACAAGGCTGGAACTTTCTGGCACCTCTAGGTTGCTTTTTTCAGCTCCTTTCAGACGAATGCTGCCGGGTGCTTACCCGCCTGGGGCCCTTTGTAGTGCTGCTTCCCTTATTTTTGCTGAGGCACTGGGAGACCCGTTTGCTGCAGGATGCTGAGGCACCAGAATCCCCTCCTGGTGTGCTTAAGTGGGTGTTTCCACTAGCTGGCTGGGTGACTCCTGCATCGTACTGCTCCCCTTCCCGCAGGGTAAGAGGGGCCTTTCCCGTTAATCCCTCTAGCTACCTGGCCTACTGCACTGCTGCACCCCATCTTTCTTCTGGTTCAGCTGTTCCAGGGTTTTCTCTGGGGTGATATTTTCTGGGTTTTCAGAGGGTGAGAGTGACTACCTTTTTACTCCACCATCTTGGCTCCCCAAGTGCCTGCTTTCTTAAAGGAGATAAATGTGTGAAAGGCAGCCTGGCATGGTGGATAGAGAGCAGACCTAGAAATTAGGAAGACCTGGGTTTAAGTCCTGTTTGGAGTGCTGTACCTGGAGTCTGAAGACCCAAATTCAAATCCTGCCTCAAATACTTAACCTCTGCCTGCCTCAGTTTCCTCATCTGTAAAAAGGGGATAACAATAGCACTCACCTCCCAGAGTTGTAAGGACCAAATGAGACATTTGTAAAGCGCTTTGCAAACCTTAAAGGTCTATAAAGCTAACTATTATTATTTTTATTTTTATCATGATTATTATGAGTGATAGATCCTTCAGCAAATTATATAATCTCTCAGTGTCGTATGGTACTTCCTAAGGCTCTAAGGTGTACAACAGCTGCTGCTGTTTTCGGTGGAAGGAGTTCCCTCATCAGGAGTTTCTTGCGCTGATGAAATCCTGGGTATGGTTAAAAACAACCACCACCACCTGGGTACCAAACCCAGGGCAGCAGCCAGCACAAACGGGCAGAGGGAAGAGATCTGGTTAGGAAGGGTGCAGGGATCTGCTGAAGTAAGAATTTGGCGAAATCAGAAAACTAGAAGGTTCTCTCAAAATGACTCATCCCAGACAACTAAAGATGGATTCTTTTGTTTAAATGCCTCTAGGAAAGGAGCTACACCCCAACTTCCAAATGAAATAAATAGTCCCTTGACTGAGGAAATTCTGCTTTGGGTCTCACCTAAATGCTCAACGCTCCTGTTCTTGTCCCCTGATCCCAGCCCTCATCTCCGTTGAGCAACAATTAGCTGAACTCCTCGCGCCCAACTCGGCGTGAAAGGCTCCAGCAATTCATTAATCGACAGTACAGGGGATATGACTTCAGAGAAGACGTCTGTATAATAAAAATATTTCCATCTTCCAGAAGAAGGTTACCGTATGGGCCCAACTGCAAATTCTCTACAGTGAACAGTGTCACACTGCAAACATTTTCCCTGCTTCCTGTCCATGGTCCTGTAACTGTCCAGGATGGAAACGTGGCATTTGCTCTGCAGATGGAAAGGGCAAGCAGAGCGAGACTGTGGCCCGGCTTTCCACGGCAGCCCCATTCACCTGCCATCGAGCCAAGGCAGCAAGTTTTTATTCAAGGGCTCAGTGCCAAGGCCTGGGGATGCAAAGAAAAGCTAAAGGCAGGCCTGACCCTCAAGAGCTCACAATCTACTGGGAGAGACAACATGCAAACAAGAAGATATATGGCGGATAAACTGGATTTTGCAAACTGACTGCATCAATCCACAATCACAGAGAGAAGGCAGCAAGGAAGACCAGGAAAGACAGCAGGTCATTTTTGATTCTGCTCCCCACTCCATCCCATCCCATCTGCGAGAAAGCCCACCTGACCACCAAGGCAGCCTAGAAAATAAAACACACCACCAGGGAAGAACGAAAGCTTGGAGGAAAATGGGGAGGGTCACTGGTGTATCGCACCTCTTTCCTCACTTTCACCCAAATATACCTTTTCACTTAACAAATTTACTGCTGAGTCTGGTTGATTCTTAAAGCCTAGGCAATGTGATTTCTAGCAATTTGCTCATTAGAACAAAATTCTACAACACCACAGCAAATCTGTGGCTGTTCTACAAAGTTGATAAAAATGGCTTTGACCCGAATTTAATTCTGAATTGTGAATCACCCTTCCCTAGGCCAAGGGGTCGCCACAGTAGCTAAGGAGAAAGCAGATCACAAACCTTTGTATGGGAAAACAATCTACTGCCATGAATAAAATTTAAAGAACTAAACTTACTTGTTCTGTTGGGAAAAGGGTATTGATGTATTCCACAGCATTGAAATCTGCTCGGTCCAGAGGATCCTGGCTTGGAAACACCTAAGTAAAAAGTGGGGTAGAGGAGGGAGGGGGAAAGAGAGAGAGGTTATCATTAATTACCATTTGTGGTTTCAAATATCAGAGCACATAGGAGCTGCTAGACGGAACGAGGAATACTGCCTGTTAAGAGTTTGTTATAAATATGCAAAGGGTCTTGGGAGCATGTTCTGGCAATACTATAATAAACTATGACTTCCTGCCGTGGTGTCAGGACCATAATGCCCAAGGTTCCTTGGTATTATTACTGATTCTATCCTTTCCATATTCTGCCTCCGTGGTGTCAGTCCCAGCTCGAGCGTGAGGAGCCAGTCGGTGAGTTCAGTTTGGAGATGGCAGCTCCAGCCCCGCCCCCCCGCCCCCATAGGTGAATCCTGCTGCCTTAGCACCTTAGCCCTCTGAGTCCTGCTTTCCCCACAGTGCTCTCTTGGTTGTCCCTAGTTAAGTCTTGCGGCTTTACTCTAATGCAGACATTCTTAGCCATTTTTGTATGTCATGGATGTCTTTGGCAATCTGATGAAGCCTATGGACCCTTTCCCAGTTTAATGTTTTTAAATGCATAAAAAATACACAGCATAAAAAAAATTAGAGCACACAACGGGTGGAAGGTCCCAGATCCAATGGCCTTTTTATCCCAATACTCCCTAAATACATGATGGCTTTTGACCTTGTTGACTAGGCCTCCTAGCTAACACTATGTCCTCTCTTGGTTGGAAAACCCATTCTCCTACTTTTTTTTCCTGCACCCCTATCAGTTCTCTGCCCCTTCAGGGGGCTCTTTTGTTTCTTTTCACATCCCTAGCACTTAGCACAGTGGTCAGCACATGGCGAGCACTTCAGAAATATTTCTTGTTTGACTGGCTTGTCATTCTCCTCCAGACCCCTGCCAATGGGTGTGCCCCAACATGTCATCCTCACCTCTCTTCTCTCCACAATTCTCCCTTCACCATTTCATTCGATTCTGACCTTGGACTACCAGCACTATTCAAATGGCTCCCAAACCTATCTCCTCCACTTGTGTTCCCAGGTCTAGACCCACATCTCCAGTGACATACAAGACATTTATTTGTACCTTCACGCCCCTGCAGAACCTCCAACTCATCATCTTCAACTGAGCTTATTATCTTCGACCCCAAATTTCTTCTTTCTGCCATTATAACCACCAGTGGCACCACCATTCACCCCATCTTCCAAGTTGGAAAACTGACTTCCCCTCTCTATCCTTACATTCAATCAGTTACCAAGTATTATCAAGTCTACCTCCACAATCTAAGCAGGCAGCAGGCCTCCCTTTGCAAAGGTGAGGGCGCCTGCGTGAGATATGCTGCACGTTTCAGACTCTTCTGATGTGTTGGTTAGTTGGTTCAAACTTTTCTTTTTCTTTGTTATTCTTTGCTATAAAGGAAGGCTGTCTAGGGGAAGAGGGAATGGAGAATACATTGGGAAATGAAGGTGATAAAAAGAAAGCGATACAATCGTATTTTAAAAAGTCAATCTCTCCAATTCCTCTTGCGTTCCTTGCTGTCCTCTCTGTTCCACTGCATCACCCGAGTACAAATCTTCCTTACCATCTACCTCGACTACTGATTGCAATGGCAGCTTTCTGACTTCTGTTCTTTCCCTCTTCTCTCCATCCATCCTTCTCACATCGGTCAGGCTAACCTTCCTAGTCCACGGATCTTATCACATCATCCTTCCGCTTAATACCCTACAACTATTCTTTGGGGCCTTCTGAGCAAAAGTCCCATTTTTTTGGCTTGGCAGTCAAGGTCCTCCACAATCTGACCTCTCTCATGTTCTCTCATGCTAAATCCCCACCAAATCTGGCTCCGGCCCAACTGGTCCCAGTACATACCCTGCCCTTTTCCATTTTTCCATCTTTGCTCACACTGTTCCCTGGTCTGGAATGTCTTGCTCTCCCCTACTGCTGAATCCCTTGCTGTTCTTCTAAGCCCCACTACCTCCATGAAGCCTTTCCTAACTCCCACTGGTCAGTAACGAGCTTCTGCTCCTCCTACGATGTCACTCAGCATTCTGTAT